AAAATGGAAAGTCTTCTTTGCCATAAGATTGAAAACTTCTTTGTCATTTAAGAAGTGTTAAATGGAGTCACACAGTTTTGGAGCTCTGAAGAACACTTGAACAATGATAGCAAATAAACTTTTTGTACTGATTTGCATTTCAATGTCTGTATAATTTATGAATTAAGATAGATTAGTTCATAGTTCTGGAGGTGACACAGTCTCAGATGATTTGCTCTCTTATGTTTCTAATTTAAGTTAAAGAGGAATTAAAGGTAAGTGAAGGTAAGTGCAGATATACAGCATAAATAATATACTTAAAATTCAGGAAAAACAAATCAATAATAAAAATTTGGGAAAATAACTTATAGTTAACATTATAACTCTTTTTATGTAATATTTAAAAAATGCTTTCTTACAAATTTATTTTTACCGTGCCTTTAAACATTTAATGATTATGCTAATTTTATTTTCCTATTTTCTTTCTTATTCTTTAATGTAATTTAGCCCTCAAGTATTAGAACCACTTGAATTTTCTATTCTCTGAGGTAGACATTTGCAGGTGATGAGTCAGATACTGAAAGGGAATGGCCTTTTGAGTTGTCAGTGTCTGGAAGCGCAGCTGTGTGCTGGAGATCCTGGGCAGATAACCTATGAGAGAGTGTAGCCCTGTTCCTGTCCAATGCCTCCTCCCTTTCTGTTGTCCACTGACTCCCTGTTCTCAGCAGTCCTTCTGTGACACCGAAGTCTCACTGTTAACATTGCTTACAATTTTTGTGCTTTGGAAATTGCTGTTCTCTACAATATGAGACTAACCTACATTAAAAACAGTGGTTGTCTTCACTTTTGCTTTGTCCTTTAATAGAGTAAAATCTCCCTCACTGTTTCTGACTCTTAGGATCAGACGCACCTGGTCTGTAATCAACCTTCAGGTGGAATTGTAGTTTTGAGATAGTAGCATAGTTACTGTTTAAATCCTCATAGACTTCTCTAGATAGATCCTACTGTCAGATTTGAAAACACTGATGTATTAATTCCCTCTCTTCACTCTATACTTAAAAACTCAGATATTCTTGTGCATATCTGAAGAGGGGTCATATTTTATATCATTGTGAGGAATTTGTTTTGTGATATTAATAAGATGTTGATAGATGAGCAGGATTGGGTTACTTTCAACCTAATATGGGACACCTGATTTTATTCCTACATTTTTGTTTTCCTGTTACCCCTATTACCATCCTTTAGACTTTGAGACCAAGTGGCCAGGGTGGCTCTGAGGTTGCTGAGCCTATCTTTTGGGGAGGATGGTGACTAGCTGTGTGAATATTTAGAAAGATAGGAATCTCTAGAATAGCTTCCTTGGTCCTGTTGGCTCCTTTGAGGCTCCCTTGTATTTCCTGCCTTAAAACTAGTAGCATACTTCACTTGAATTGCTTTCAGCCATCGCTTAGGATTTTTCCCAGGTCATAGTTGAATTCAGTGTAAAGGTTTCTTCCTTATCTCTCTGTCATTTTAAAAAATAGGAATATAGAAATTTTAAAGTATTTTAGGGAGTTTTAGTTAGAAAATTGTCTAAAAATCTCCATGTCTCTTTCCTCTTCTCCCTTTTTAAAAATTTGGAGTAGAATTCCATACTGAGAAATACATTTTTGTCAAATCCACCAGTTCAAGCATTTCATCCAGGGACTGTCAGGCAGGGTATTTGGTCTTGAAGAAGGACACTAGGTGATTGTCAGAGCAGGAACCAGTTTAAGCAGTGCAGAAAGGCAAGCTAAGAAGAGTTGGCATGGAGGGTTGAGTAGTGTGTAGGGAAAAAGCTGAAAATATGCTTAGAAAGGAAAACCTGGTCCAAAGGTTGACAGTGGGGGAGTAGTTTCAAACTACAGGGTTCCTTATGAGGACATTTCTAATAAATATGATATGTACTAGGACATTCTACTTTGATTTTGGTTAAGATGACTAACCTTGAGTTTTATTTTAAGGAAACCTAATGACAAATACTACTTTGTGAATTTTAAATATTTGACACATTCAGTTTTCATTTTAAAAATAGATTTTAATTTTGATTAAATAAAAATGGGCTTGTGGTAATTTGGCTTTATATTTGAAATTTTAAGCTTTTTGTTATGGAAAATTTTAAACATATAAACATAGAATTTAATGAAGCCTCATGTAATATTTGGTTTGGCAGTTATAAAAAGTGTGGCCAGTTTTCTTCCATTGCCCACTCCCATACCTGCTCCCCATATCCCAGGCATCACATCTATTTTAAAATTAAACATACATTTTTGAAATTAAATGAAGTCCTAACCTATTGCAGTCCTACATATGCTTGTAAAGTTCATTAGTTTCTTTTTTTACTTAAAGATATATTATCATTTCTTTATTGAAATACATGAACATTATATTTCAATGATTATATACCCTAAGAAGCCTGCCCTTAGTATTTTGTGTGTGCCACTTCAGGAATACAGGGAACAATTCTGAGAAATAAGTGTTTTGTGCATTTCATTGCAAATAGCCATTTCGTTAGGATGGTATTAACACAGATGCCTTCTTTTCCAGTGGACTGCTACTTTAAAAAACAAAGCTCATTTAAAATAGCTTCTGAGTTAAACTCTGATTTTTCAGTTATAATCCATTTGACATAGCCTATAAAATTATACTTCATGTACTTTTTGTATGATTCATACATATCACAAATGCAAGGATTTTGTTTCTAATTGATGAGTAGAAAAGGAATCAGCTGCTCTTAATTTGTTCATGGTGCATACATACTGAAAGGCTTTGGTATGGTTAAAACATCCTTTTGCACATTTGCCTGCCTTTATGAAAACTGTGATTCATTCAGAGAACTTAACATTTGCTTATGTGCAATATCTCTTCTTTGATATTTCCTAATTCTCAGCTGTGTTCCCTAATGGATCTTTTATCTAGTGTCTGGGCAGCATAATGTGAATGGGATAAAATGTCAGTTATTCCATAGAGTTGCATTCTTCTTTAATTATTGAATCACAATTTTTATTATGTCTTAGGTTTGTTTATTTAGCTAATCATTCATTATATACTTAATGCTAGAAGATAATTTCACTTAACCCTAGCCATTTATTTCAGCTGCAGATGTTATAAATAAAAATATGGAAAACATAATTCACTCTATGTCTTTATAATTTTTTTCAAGTTTTGACTGTAATATTTTTGTAATTGCTCTCAATACTGGATTCTTTAGCTGATCTATGGAGGGCCCAGCTGTTTTTGTCTAAAGTATATTTTTAGTAAAGATGTTTGGAGTATAAGAAATCTGTTAAGTAAGCCTGGCAGTCTTGTTTCTGTGAGTTATCTTTTTGTCTTAGGTTTTTGTTTTGTAAGATTGTTGCCAAAAAATCGTTTCTTTCTCTTCTTTCATTTAGCTTTTGGACCAGTAGAGCTGCTGTTGGCTATTTTTGTGTCTAATTTTTATACACTCATTGGGACATTTTACTTCTGTGTTACAAATGTATTGCTAGTAAAAAAAAGTCAAATGTCTTAGCTCTTTCATGTGATCTCTAAGAAATTTCCTCCTTTCACACTTTTCTGTTTTTATACAGGTCCTCATGCTGATACCGCCAGCGGATGCCAGAATTTGCAGTGTGGTTTTCGAGCCTGCTGCCGCTCTGGCGAATGACCCTTGACTCCTGACCTTTGTCTACTTCATTTAGCTGAGCAGGCTTCCTTTCATGCACTTTACTTATAGCACATTTCTTGTGTTAACCATCCTTTTTTGAGTGTGACTTGTTTTGGCCCCATTTCTTACAGTCTCAGAAATCTTAATTTACCAGTCAATTGTACAGTGTTGTTTCTCTTGCAAATCATATTTTTGTTTTAGAAAGGGATTAGATCTTTTAATGAGGGTGAGAACAGTTTTATCAGTTTTCTTTTAAATGGAATGCTTTGAAAAGAATGTCACTAATGCCATGCCATTTAAAGTATTTTTTAGATTGAGTTTTAAAGTCAATGGGGATTATTGGTTCTCTTTATATATAAACACTGTACCAAGCTTTGCAGATCTTTTCAAACATACATTTTTGAAGTTTTATTTTCAGAGATTGCACATTTGAAAACCAGTCTTTTTTCCATAATGTTTCCTTTATTTGAACAATTCTCAGAGGGCCAATTCAAACATACCCACATATAAGGTTCTTTAAGAAAATAGAATAAATTGGCTTCTTGGTGTTAGCTCAGTGAGCTGGCAAAGTACCAATGTATTTGTATTTGCTTTCTTCAAATACTCTTCTTCAAATACTCTTGGTTCCTGCCACTGTCCCTAAATTGTCAAATTTGGGAGGGATTTTTAAAAATTCCACAATCATTTGAAGAAATGTATCAATAAAACCTACTTTGAGGACTTTACCAAATAAATTTTTTGGTGTTTTGATTTCATTAGAAACCTCAATTCAGGATTATATTAGTGTAAAATAGGACTAAATATTTTCTTTTGAGCTCCCATGAAATCATGATACTGGCAGTTTTAGATACCTAATTTTGTTGAGTTGAATTGCCTTTTTTGAAATTAATTATGCAATAGTCAGAGTTTGAATGTGTATGCCTTTCTTCATTGCTGTGTGAAAAGACAGTGGGAGTGGGGACGTATCATTCAGAAAGGCACATATTGAGTCAGTTTTACATAATGCTATATATAATTTTATGTCCTGAAAAAAAGAGTCAGCAGTATGCCATCTACTTTTGGAAATGCATGCAAGGCTGTGGAAGACGAGTTAATCTTGCAGTCTTGTTACTTGTGGTCCCAGGTATTCTTTTGTTTGTTTCATTGAGGGATAGGAAGAGTAGGAAAGGTACATATGATAGACAAGTTTCAGTTCAGGCAGAAGACTTTGTTTTAGACAGAGCTGTCTAAAGATGAACAAAGAGGGGCAGCCTGGGTGGCTCTGCAGTTTAGTGCCGCCTTCAGCCCGGGGCCTGATCCTGGAGACCCAGGATCGAGTCTCACGTCGGGCTTCCTGCATGGAGCCTGCTTCTTCCTCTGCCTGTGTCTCTGCCTCTCTCTCTGTTCTCTCATAAATTAAAAAAAAATAATAATAAAGGTGAAAAAATAATCATCTGATGAGAATATGAACAAGGAGACTCCATCCCGTTTTAAGTCTCAACTAATATTTTAATTAAACACTCCAGGGGAGATGGAGTTGGGTGGAGGCTGCTCTCGGATGGCCCTCCTGAAGTTGTACCTCCTGTCATAATTGACACTTGGAAAATGTTTCTTGTGTGTGGGACAAGGCAGCTGTGTGAGCAGACTATCTTACCTTCAGAGCTTGTACCTCTTAGGTGTAAATAGTCTTGCCTTTTGTGGGACTGTGGCACCTAGCCTTCTCCTTCAAAAGTCTGGCCTAAGCACAAAGTAAGAAATAATTTTTTCTTTTTCCCTTTTTTTTTTTTTTAAAGATTTTATTTATTCACGAGAGACACAGAGAGAGAGAGGCAGAGACATAGGCGGAGGGAGAAGCAGGCTCCATGCAGGGAACCTGATGTGAAGGAATGATTTCTTGATTTCCTTACAGAACTTGAAAGGAAATACAAGCTTAGGGAGCGCTTACAGTCTGAAGTTTCATTTTGTAAGGTTGATTGTCCTGTAGTTACTGTGTTTGTTTCCTTAAGTGTTCAATAAAGTGTATTTGAAAAATTCATATCAGGGACTATTTCAAGAAAACAAGCTACAAGGATTTTTCTGAGTGAGTCCAACCATCCCCATGCTTTATCTTATCTGTATTTACATGAATTGTAAGTAAAATTACTCATCTATACTCCTGGCCCTGAGTTATCAGGTGAGGGAGGACTCAAGTTTATCCTCCCTGTAGTCACAAAACACTATAATATATTGGGGCGAGAAATTCTTATAATGACTCAGTAGTGTTTCAGGAGTTGACTTAAATGTTACTCTTTTAAATTAATTAATTTGAGCAGCTAATTTCCTCAGGGGTACCAGGTGATTGAGGTGTCTCCTTTTTGCTTTGTCCTATGCTACTTGATATTAGCAAACCATTAAATAAGACCTGGCAGTCTTGGACTACACTGACTGCACATCATCATGTGGAGACTCACTACTCTCTACTCTTCCTCTCCTTCTAGTTGCATGGGGAGACAGACGACATAATTTATACTTAATTTTGATACACTAACTTCAGGGTATAGTTAGTCTTTGATGAAACACTACAAATACTTGGTTTATTTTATTTATTTTTAAAGATTTTATTTATTCATGAGAGAGAGAGAGAGAGAAAGGTAGAGACACAGGCAGAGGGAGAAGGAGGCTCCATGAAGAGAACCTGATGTGGAACTTGATCTCAGGACTCCAGGATCACGCCCTGGACCAAAGGGAGGCACTAAACCGCTGAGCCACCCAGGAACTCCCCAAATACTTTGTTTAAATTTGTCGTGGGATTTGTGATTGATTTAGTGAGTTATTGGAATTATTCATTCTTAGAATAAAACACAAGTTACGTGAACTGCCTTGGGGTGCCTGACAGACATCAGGTGCTCAGTGCTGGGCAGTGTTCTAAGTACCTTATACTTACATATACTGACTTTATTAAACTGTGAGAGGAAGGAAGGAGTGTGATCATTTTGATTCTGTATATGGGGAAAATAAATAGCAGAAAGGTTAAGTAACTTGTCCATGCATGGTACTCTGTAATGACGAGGTATTGCCTGGTAATGACTCTTACAGGTCAGTCCTTGAGCTCTCTCTCTTGAAGAGTCCCTAATTGAGGTATCAGAGGCATGCCAACCCCTAATTATAATTTAATCTGATAGAGGATGGCTTAAGGGAATAAAGTAAAAGGTGAAAGTTTTTGCCTAATTTGGTCCCTCTGGCTTTATGGGTTTTTTTTGTTTGTTTTTTTAAGTGAGATCGTATTCCAGCTATGTTCTCAGCTGGAGTCAGTTTATCCCTAGAGGACAATAGACAATGTATGGAAACATTTTTGGTCATCACAGTTTGGCAGAGGGAAAGGATGCAAATGACATGTAGTGGGTAGAGGTCAAGGATGCTGCTAAACATCCTCTAATGAACAGGTCAGGTCAGCCCTCCATAGCAAAAAATTACTTGGCCCAGAATGTCAGTAGTGCCTCTGTTAAGAAACCCTGCTTTATGTATTTCTATTTTGTGTACATTTTTCCATGTCAGCACATAGATTTAATACCTTTTAGTGACTTAGTGTGGTAGTACCTGTGTTTGTCTTAATCTGTTTGGGCTGCTATAACAGAATACTATACACTGGGTAGCTTAAACAACAAACATTGACTTCTGTTATATCTGGATGCTGAGAAGTCAGGGGTAAGGTGCTGGCAGATCTGGTTTCTGGTGAGGGCTTGCTTTCTGATTTGCAGAGGGCCGTCTTCTCATTGTATCCACACATGGCCTGAAGAAAGTAAGCAAGCTCTCTACTGTATTTTTACAGTAGCATTCATCCCAACACCAGGCCTCCACTCTCATACCGAATTGCCTCCCAAAGGACCCATCTCCAAATACCATTACATAAGGGATTTGGGTTTCAAGGTAGGAATTTTGTGGGAGACACAAACATTTAGTCCATAGCAATGTCTTAGTTTTTTAAATGACTTTCCTTTGGGGGATGTTTAAACATACCCCCCTCCCAATACTATATTGTTTCAATAGGATTGTGTGAGATATATATGGGCACATTTGTGTACATGTGCATGTTTGTTCAGTATTTCTAAAGGATAAGGTCTTACGAGATGTTTGGTGTTAATTCTATAATGCAAAATTGTTCCTGCTTCCCCCAGAGAAGTTGTGTTATTTTGCTGGGTCTTAAAAGTATGATGGGTATTCTGTTGGACAGGCAAAGAAGGAGGGCATTCCAAGTAGAAGGTAAGTACAAAGGCATAGATGTGGGGTGCCCACGTTTTTTTTTTTTTTATTTTTTTTATGACACAATCAGTCATAACTTGATAAATCTTTTATTTTCACCTTTACATTTCCGTCCCAGGCTGCCTGATGTCTCTGTCCCCACCCAACTCTGGAGGCAGCCTGACCCTATCTTGTGCTTTTTATTGGGGGAATGGGAAGGGGGGGCCAGTGGTAGGCACTGTACCTTTATAGAGCTTGTAAACCTGCACCAGAATAGGGGCCAACCCCTCATCCCACCAGCTGGGTCTGGCCAGGAGATGGGCTCTGGGCAGCTCCTAGCCTCCCTGGAGACCCAGAGCCTATGGACAAGAGCAGCCATCCCCACCCCCTCCACTCAGGACTTGGAGGGGGATGGGAAGCGTATAAAGACCCCCAGAGGTACCTGTGAGGGGGAACTCTGGGAAGCCTCAATGGAATGTGGGGTCAGAGTGGCAAGAGACAAGACAGACTACTAAATATAAACTTATTTTGAAAATGATAGTTTTATTTCATTATTTACAAATAATTTATGTGATCAGGATCACTTAAAAATATCCTCATACCTTACAGTTTTTACATGATAAAAAAAGTATACAATGAAAAAATTACCTGTTGCGTATAAGGGAGGCAACATAAATCCAGACAGACAAAACATTTTTGGGGTATGGGTGGATATATACAGCTAAAGCAAATTCAACATTAGGAACATCAATATTATGTACTCCGGTGCTATACACTGCTTCAATTAAAGGCTTCAGTTCAGAATAGGGCATGTGAAGGGGAAATCCAGAGAACTGAAGGAAAAAAACAAAACAAAAAAAACAAGACTTGTAGTCATTAGTGAAGCTTGAAGATTTCATTGTATTTTTTTCCTTACATGCAATTCTTAATATTCTTGTCTTTCTTCTGCACCTTGAAATCATTTATTTAGTTCTGCTTTCCTATTCAGCTATGTAGTAGCAATACAGAAAATGGAGGGAGGCCAAATGTCTTTTTTGTTCAATTGCTAGTGTATTGACTTGGTGTATAAGACAGCTGTTAACACCCAGCCGCCCTCCACTGTTCCCTTCCCCCTCTGCCTGATAGTCTTTAGTTTGCATAGTAACTCACGTGATTTCAGGGATCTGGATTAATGCTAATCAACACATTCTATCCCATGGCCACAGTGACTGATCTATGGGCTTGTGATAAAAGTAGGTCCCAGGAAACCTGCTAGGAATGATGGCACACAGATGTGCTCTCCTGCTTTGGACAACATGTGTGCAGATGGGAGTCCTGCCTGGAGCTGTTCCAGCCATTTTATTCCATGAAAATGAGCCTGAGGACGGTGCCATCACATGGAGGAGGGCAAGTTGGGAAGACTTACAGAATAGTGGTACAGCTCTGATAGCTACTTACCTCTAATTTTTACTGAAATAAGCCAATAAATTCTTGTCATTGCTCAAGGCTGTTCGAATACATTTTTTGTTACTTGATGACATCCTAGCTGAAAAACTCATTTTTTTTTTTTTAAGATTTATTCATTTGTTTTAAAGACAGCAAGTGGGGAGGGGCAGAAGGAGAGAAACCCCTAGCAGACTATGCACTGAATGCAGAGCAAGGCAGGGCTTCATCCCAGGACCCTAAGATTAAGACCTGAGCTGAAACCAAGAATTAGACTCAGCCAACTGAGCCACACAGGCACCCTTGAAAACCTAGTTTAGTCACTGAATAGAATTAAATGTCCAGGGACACCTGGGTGGCTCAGTGGTTGAGCGTTTGGCCTTTGGCTCAAGCCGTGATCCCAGTCTCTCTGCAGGGAGCCTGGTTCTCCCTCTGCCTATGTCTCGGTCTCTCTGTATCTCTCATGAATAAGTAAATGAAATCTTTTAAAAAAAATTAAATGTCCAACTTGACGTAACACTGTTTAGCCAACAAAGTTTACTGTTTTGAGACTTTATTCTAGGTTTTATTATCTAGCTATATGATGTGAACACAGCACTACCGACAGGCAGTGGAGAGAACATACCTAATGAGAGTTTTTCTTAGCTTTGAGAAGCAGTTATTATAAATCATATCCTTAAAACTGACCAAGAATGGTTGGTTTCACCTTTATGTACAGTTGACTCTAATATGATCTAGCCAGATGTTTTAATTGTATTTAATACTCTTGCAATGCATTTTATTAAAGATTTTTTTGTTGCCTAGTCTTATAGCATTTTCAGTTTATGGAGGCATTTTGCTGTTTAATAATAGCTTAATCACTGAGATTTGAACTTTTAATTACATCTTTTACTCTATGCTGCTTCATCTATGTATTTGGGCAGCCAAGTAGGTATTTTGATTCTAAACGTGCATTACCAGGCAATTTCCAATTTGAAATGAAATCCACAGGTTCAGTTTAGAGCCATTTGTACTTACCCGGTAGTCTCCCAGCTGTTTGAGCAGCTCTGCTCTATGGTCATCTTCTACATCTTCTCCTCGACTTCTTTCTAACACAGGTAAGAAGTGTCGAAGCGCGGAGGTACAGTACCTGTTCCATCTAGTCAGATGGCGTGGCCTCCAGTCCATGATTTTTTCTTTCAGTATTTTTTCAATCCTGTTTATAAAAAAAAACTCTATTTTTTGCTGGTTTGACTTTTCTCTATGCAGTGGGGATTCGGGTGGAGTTGTCATTCACTACACATAGTTTATGTTGAAAGCCTTAAATATTTGTAGGGCTTTTATTGCTGCATATTGATTCTTAATCCTGTGCTGTGACTTCTGTTTATGAGGATTCTTTTTCTGAATTTCCTTGAGACTGTTCTTAGAATATCCATCATCACTAAGCTTTATGTCCCATAGATCCAGTACCTATCATTAGGTACAAAGCAGGATATCAAAAATTAAGTGGCAAACACAGAATAAAGGAAAATAGCTAGCATTTGTTGAGCCTTTATTTACCAGGTACTGTGTAAAATCCTTTCTGTTCATTTTTATTTAATCTTAACTGTGACTCCCGAGGGGATCTTGTCCCAATTTTACTTATGTGGGGACAGCTTGAGGTAGAATAAGTGACTTAACAATGGCAGGGGATGTGAGGTTTGAGTTGAAACCCTGCCAATTCTAAGGCCTCTTCTGCATCCCTAACCAAATGCACAGATTTAGAGATCCATCCAGCTCCTCACTGCTTAATAGCTGCAGGATCTCCTTCTCATTTGGCACATGACACGTTTGTCCTGGGTTTCAAGACAGTCTGAGCAAGAGTATGATTGAATTGCCGTGCACTTCATCAATGTTGAGTAGATAAATAATGTGGGTCTAAGTAATAGTATCCTGAAACTATCTGAAGAAACAAAGACTTTTTTGAGAATTAGTAGTTCTAGGTCTGTACCTCTAGTAGGGCTTTATTTAAAGTTTGAAATTGAGAATAATTTGGAGTTTTCTAGTAATAGAAAGGGTCACATTTATCCTTGAGTATTTGACATGCTGCTCTTTACACAGCTTGATATAGTAGAAAGGGCAGACTTTAAAATCAGATCTGACTCGGCTCAGAAGCCCCCTCTAACACTTAACAAGTAAATTGACCTCTTTGAACCTTGGTTTCCACATTTGCAAAACTGGAAAAGTAAAGTTTTGTTTTACATGATTATAAGGATCATGGGAACTCTTCCCAGCCTTCTCCTTGTGTTAGGTTTATAAACTAGCTGAAGTTCAGTAAGCCACTAATTGGACAAAAGAGGCATATTAAGCTGAGGATTATGGTAAGTCTGAATAAGGCCTATAATAACATGATGCTGAGCTCTAACCTGAGGTGAAGTTTTGGGAGAACTACCTATCATTGCTGAAGGTCACTTCTGTTTGTTCCACACTGTACTGATGCAAAGGTCTCCCTTTGAGCTGCAGGATTTAGAGATCAGATCTGTATTTGGTATCTTTCTATAAACATGAATTAAAGTTTTAATTGCTCAAATTATTAATCCAGGCCAAGAACTGTTCAGTTTTGGTATTACACTTCTAGTGACAGATTGCATGTGGATTTAAGGGTATCATATGACCTGTCTTGTAGCTCAGCTGCAGCCGCTTTGTCTATGCGCTGGTAAATTAGTTCTTCTGGCTATGAAAGAGAAAATAGTTAAGAAATGTTAAGAATCACACTTAATTTGAGTAACTTTCTAATTCTTTTCTAAATCTTTTTAAAAATTGTGAAATCTCAGACATTCATTCAGATACAGACCATAGTATAATGGATACCAGTGTACCCATGAGCCACCTTAAGTACAATATCACAAAGAAATTAAAGTGCTGTGTAATTTCCTACCTCTCTCACCATAGAAGTAGCTACGACTTGAATTTATTTTTTAGCACTTTTATTCAACATATATCTATGATGTGCCAGGCATTTTTTATAGGTGATAGAGATGTGGCCATGAATAAAATCACTGCCTCCTGATGTGTACATCATAGTTGGTGGAGATTAGCAAGTTAATAAAATGTATTTATGATTTTATTACATATCTATGTATCCCCAAACAATGTATTATTTTGGTATGGGTGTTTTGTAAACTTTATGTCTTTCTTTTTCTTTTCTTTTCTTTTCTTTTTTTTTAAGATTCTATTTATTCATGAGAGACAAAGAGAGAGGCAGAGACAGGCAGAGGGAGAAGCAGACTCCATGCAGGGAGTGTGATGCAGGACTCAATCCCAGGACCCGGGATCCCGACTGAGCCAAAGGCAGATGCTCACTGAGCCACCCAGGCACCCCCCTCCCCCCCCTCGCCTTTTTTTCCAAGTATAGTTGACACACAATGTTACATTGATTTCAGGTGTACAATGTAGTGATTTGACAAGTCGGTTTATGTAATTTTATCCTGTGAATATGCAGATTGCCTTTCTCCCTTAATAGAGATAATAACATCCACATTTTTAGAGTGCTAAGATTTATTAATGTTTCACTTGTGTAGCTACTATAAAATATTCCAGTATGTACTCTACATAATTTGTCCCTTCTGTAATTCCAGTTCTTAGGCTGTTATAAACAATGTTTCTATGAAAAATCTTATATATGTCACCTTGACACATGGAAGAATTTCTCTAGGGCACTGTTTTTTTTTTTTTTTTTTTTAAACCTCTTTTTGGAAAGGTCTGGATCACAGTAAAAAGTATACCTCATATTATACACTTACTGTACACATACACAGATACATATATATCTAACAAATTTAATAGAACCCTTACTAAACAATTTTCACACTTATTAAAATCTTAACACTGGTCAGGACCTTCTAAATTAATTTTATGAGCCTCTACTGGATCATGCCCTGCAGTTTGATTTCATGTTTTAATAGTCATGAAATTTAGTCATTTAGTGAATTGAGACTAGCATTTAAGAATATATTCTAATATACTTTTTAAGTCATGAGGTTCATTTTTTTCCCCCACACATATATATACTGGTTCATGATATGGTGGTAATTTCTTACTGTGAGTTGGGCTCAACTAAGTTTGAGAAATATTATTTTTGACTGAATATCTAGTAGAATTCAGGGTAAAAAGCATGTCTGGCTATCCAGTATAATGATTTCAAATTATATATATATATATATATATATATATATATATATATATATATATATATATATAATTTAAGAGAGGGAGAGAGGGGCAGAGGGAGAGGGAAGAGAGAGAATCGTAAGCAGGCTCCTTACCCAGCGAGGCAGCCTACCTGGGGCTCCATCTCACAACCCTGAGATCATGACCTGAGCCAAAATCAAGATTTGGCCACTTAATTGACTGAGCCACTTAGGCACCCCTTTGTCTATATGTTAATAAAAGAATTATATACCTGAATACTGGAAAGGCCAGGATATGGAAGGCTTCTTGAAAAGAAAGATTTCCATAGCTTGGGTTTGGTGACATCAAAATTTATCCGTAGTGGGGAGTCGTATCGTTGAGTATTAAACCAAATCTAAAAAAGACAAGACGACATTAGCATATATGGCAGCAGATGTTTGTGTGTTTGTGTGTGTGTGTGTGTGTGCACGCGCATGCGTGCATGTATGTATAGAGGAAGCAGAAAGCAAGAGGATACACAGGTGGTTTTTTTTTTCACATTTTAATTTGTAAAACCTGCATTTTATAATCCGAGGCATCATAAAATTGTCATTGGTCATTTTTTCAAATTTTTCATATCTGAAGTTGAGGTGCACCTTACCACTGATAATAGGTTGATGAAATAAGATAGTTCCTGATAAGATTAAAAAATTTTAGAAGATAGACAAAGCTATTCCTTTCTCAGTCTGGCTTTTCTAACTGTACTTCCTAACCTCCCAATTGAGTTATATGTCTACCTCTTTGCTTCCACAGCAAAGAGGAATCTCTGTAATAGATTACAGGAATCTGTAATCTCTGAAAAGCACCTTCCCTGCTGAGGAATGTAGTAAATTGGTTCTGGAGTCAGGCCATTTTTATTTGAATTCTGGCTCCTATATTTATTAACCATATGATCTTGGATGATTTATTTAACTTCTTTGTACTTCATTTTCCTCCTCTATGAAACTGGGATAATAGTACCCACCTCAAGGTTGTTGAGCAGATTAGTTAATTCATCTATACCCCTTGGAACAATGCCTAGAACATAGTAGGTTTCCCAATAATTGTTAGCTAATTTATTACTATTATTTGTGTTTATCATTGTTAATAATTGCCTGTCCATCCATCTGCCATCCTCACTAAATATTACATTGTTGTCTTGACATTTGCCCTGTGCCTTGTTCACCTATTTTTAGCATTTAGCATAGCTTCTGGCACATAGTAGGCATATTGAATGACTGCGTGCATCAGTGATAAATTTGTACATTTAACACATTTATCTAGTATTTACTATGTTTGGGCTCAGTTTCAGTCCCTAGAGATAAAATAACGAAACAGAGTTCCTACCCTTATGCAGTAGCTAGTGAGAAGATAATGTGAACAAATAAGTAAATATATGGGATTTCAGATGATGTTAAATGATACAGTAGATTGTATCACTGACCTGAGTTCTTCCTGCCTTCCTATACCTACACTTTTTGCCATGTTACTTTAGAGTTCCTCCCACTAAAAGGGTTGAAATGTATTTTCCTGCTCCTTAATGTTTGGCCAATAGAATGGAATGGAAGTGTTAGTGTGTAACTTCTGATCTAAGCCTAAGAGGCTTTGTGTTTCCCTGCTTGCCTTCTTGTGCTTCTGCTATTGTCACTGCTGAGTCCCAGAATAAACATACATGAAGCAGAGCTGTTCCAGCTGACCCAGAGAATCATGAGAATAATTGTTTTAAGCCATTTAGTTTGAGGATGGGTTTTTACTATCTTTATTGTGGCAACAGCTAACTTATACAAGAGCTGTGGAGAAAACATGGGAAGAGATGAAATTTCAGGATCAGTAGGGAAATTCTTGCTGGAACAATGACATTTGATCAGAAATGCAAGAAGTGAGGGAGAAGTTATGAAGATACCCAGTAAGGGGAAAGGTCATCTATGAAGGGGAAAGAACAAATACAAAATTTGCTTGATGTGTTGAGGAAGATGGTAGCTTTAAAGGAGTGAGCAAATTAGAGCAAGTAAGAGATGACATCAGTGGAGGATGCGGGCGGTGGAGGGTGCAGGATGGCTGTCAGGTTATAAAAGGCCTTGTGAAGTATTTTAAAGATTTAGGCTTTGATTTTAGAGTGAGCTAGGAAGCAATTGGAGTACTTTAGGTGGAGGAGTGACATAGTCTGCCTTTCATTTTAACACTAATATAAAGAATATTATAGTCTGCTTTGAGACTAGACCAAAGAAGGTAAGGGCAAATAGTGAAGTCTCCAGTTAGGGGGCTATTTTCAAATAATCCAGGTAAGAGGTACAGTAGTGTGGACCAAAACAGTAGTGAAATTGGTCAGCTATGGTCAGATTCTGGATATATTATGAAACCAATAGAATTTGCTGATGAATAGGATGTGGGATAAAGAGGAATCAAAGGTGACTCCAAGGATTTTGGCCTAAGTAACTGGACTGATGGAATTGCCCTTTATTGAGATAAGAAAGACCGCAAAGGAAATTGGGAGCTCAAGTGTGGGCACGTTGAGTTTGAGATACATGTCTGATATCTATATGAAGATGATGGGTACATAGTTGGATATTTGAGTCTGAAGTTCTGGGAGCTAGATGAGCTAGAGATACACATTTGGGGATCATCAGCATTTATGTTTCTAGGGAGGAAGTGTAGATAAGATGTTTGATGAATTTGAACTTTGAAGTTCTGATTTTTTGAATTTGGAGAAATAACAAAAAAAGCAGCAAAGGATACAGAGGAGTGATAGCCAGGTTAGGGAGGCTTTGATACTTGTAATTCAAATCATGAAATTGTTTAAAGAAGGCAAGGTCTTTAAGAACTACAATTTGGATATAGGGTAGGGAATATGCAGAAAAATTGTGGAAAATAGTGCTGGAAAAAGTTGAGGTCAGATTATATAGGACTTTGAAATCTAAGGCAAGAAGTTTGTTCCTAAATCTGTATGTAGTGCGGTCCCTCCAATACTTTTTGAGCCGTAGAATGATGAAGCCCAATGTTCATAAACTTAATCAGGTATCAGTACACCAAATAATGGATTGAGTTGGAGAGACTATTTAGTTGGTTACTTATAGTAATGCAGGATAAAACAATAATGGCTTGGCCTAGAAAACACAGCAGGTAGAATCTATATGATTTGGCATCTGTTAATAGCATTGAAGTAGGAGGTTACAGTAAGGGAGAGAGAAAATCAAGGATTCTGAGGTGTGAATCTGGGTAACTGACATCCGTAGAAACAGAAACCGGGAGGAGGAGCTTGTTTTGGATGCAAGGGGGAAATGATCTGAATTTTGGATGTGCCAAGTTTGAGATTTTTGTAAAAAGATTTATTTATTTTATACATATACAGAAAGAGCATGCACATAAGCAGTGGGAAAGGGAGAGGGAGAGAGAATCCTTAAGCAGACTCCTCACGGATCATAGAGCCCAATGCAGGGCTCTATCCAAGGACCCTGAGATCATGGCCTGAGCTGAAACTAAGAGTCAGCCACCCAGCTGACTAGACACCCAGGTGCCCTCAAGTTTGAGATTTTGATAAAGTACTTGGGTGTCTCGCAGACAGTTGAAAATTCAGGATCCAAAGAAAGATTCTGGGGCTAGTGAAAGGATTATAACTTCTCTGCCAGGATAGCCTAGATAGAGTTACAATTAATAATAATGGGTGTGGTCCTGCAAGAAATCTAAATATAGAATCTTGAGGAATATTGACTTTTAAGGGGTCGAAGAAGAGCGAGTGAAAGAAACCTAAGAAACTCTTGCAGAGAAAAAGGAAACCAAACATTCCTTTATCTGTAAACCAATTGGGAAAGTTTTTTTTTTTTTTCATAAAGAGGTTATTAGTCATGTTATGCACCATAGGAAAGGAGAAGAGAGGGAAGATGAGAGTAAACCTTTGGAGTTATTTATCTATTAGTAAAACAATGGTACCTCTCAGGTACCTCTCAGAGTTGAATTTCTATAGGATGGTCAGGGAAGAGGAGCTAGATTTTTAAAAGGGTTAAAGTCTGAGTTTACTGAGAACATAGAAGCAGGGGATATAATTAGTAATTGAAGAACTTTGGAAGCAAAGGAAAGAGAGGAGATGGTAATTCAAGGTTGGTAGAAGCATACAAGCACACCTCTGAGATATTATGGTTTGGTTACAGACCACTGCAATAAAGTGAATATTGCAATAAAGGAAGTCAAATGAATATTTTGGTTTCCCAGTGCGTATAAAAGTATATTTATAATAATACTGTAGCCTATTTAATGTGCAATAGCATTATGCCTAAAGAAACAATATATATACCTTAATTTTTTTTAAAGATTTTATTTATTCATGAAAGACACAGAGAAGCAGACACACAGGCAGAAGGAGAAGCAGGCTTCATGCAGGAAACCTGACACAGGACTCCTGGCATCATGCCCTGATCCAAAGGCAGATGCTCAACCGCTGAGCCACCCAGGCATCCCATACATAGCTTAATTAAAAGTATATGGCTAAAAATGCTCATCATCATCTGGGCTTTCAGCGAATTATCATCACAGATCATCATAACAAATATAATGAAAAAGTTTGAAGTATTGCAAGAATTACCAAAACATGACAGAGACGTGAAGCGAGCAAATGCTGTTGGAAAAGGGTACTGACGGATTTGCCTGGCACAGAGTTGCCATAAAATGTTCATTTTGTAAAAAAAAAAACACAGTGTGAATATGATGAAGCATAACAAATTGAGGTATGCCTGTATTTTGGTACTGTTGCACTTCCAAGCATATCAGTATAGAGAGAAAAAATGTAGGGGCAAGTTGGAATAATGAGTAGAGGCACGTCTTGGAATAAGAGTGAAGACACAAACATGAGTAGAAAGGGGAGACGCTTCTTTCCTGGCAAGGGACTATAGGAGAAGAAAGGCTGACAATCCAGAGAGGTTGTGTTTGTGGAGCAGAAGGCAGTGGAGATTCTACAGTCGGTATCAGGCCAACTAGGCAAGTGTGAGGTCCTCTACCAAGAGAGGTTAAGGCTTAGAGCAGGTTCGGAACAGGTGCCATGAAGAATGCCCAACATCGTGAACATATGCTTCTTGTTAGTAAGGAGGAGGGGTCTTTCTTCCTCACAAAACCTGGGCTTTATGTAATTAGTCAATCACACAGTAATTGTTTTGAGAACTAATAATAATTTAGAGAGAGAATGGAATTATTTGAGGTCTTTTTCAATGCCTGTCGACTCTGCTTGATTCCAAATGGCCTTCACATGGTTCTCCAAACAGGAGGAGCTAGCAGCTTATTCACGATTATGATAAAGCTTTTAATTTAAGAATGGTACTCCACAGTGCTCTTCACACTTGTAATAAAAAATAGTTGCCATTTGCTGAACACCTATGAAAACCAGGTGCT